TAAAGGCTGAATGCGCACAGTGTTCTCCCTGTCACAGAACCATCAGCCGCCATAAAGGCTGAATGCGCAGAGTGGTCTCACTGTTACAGAACCATCAGCCGCCTTAAAGGCTGACTGCGCACAGTGTTCTCCCTGTTACAGAACCATCAGCCGCCTTAAAGGCTGACTGCGCAGAGTGGTCTGCCTGTTACAGAACCATCAGCCGCCATAAAGGCTGACTGCGCACAGTGTTCTCCCTGTTACAGAACCATCAGCCGCCTTAAAGGCTGAATGCGCAGAGTGGTCTCACTGTTACAGAACCATCAGCCGCCTTAAAGGCTGACTGCGCACAGTGTTCTCCCTGTTACAGAACCATCAGCCGCCATAAAGGCTGACTGCGCACAGTGTTCTCACTGTTACAGAACCATGACTGCGCACAGTGTTCTCACTGTCACAGAACCATCAGCCGCCATAAAGGCTGACTGCGCACAGTGTTCTCCCTGTTACAGAACCATCAGCCGCCTTAAAGGCTGAATGCGCACAGTGGTCTCACTGTTACAGAACCATCAGCCGCCTTAAAGGCTGACTGCGCACAGTGTTCTCACTGTTACAGAACCATCAGCCACCTTAAAGGCTGACTGCGCACAGTGTTCTCCCTGTTACAGAACCATGACTGCGCACAGTGTTCTCCCTGTCACAGAACCATCAGCCGCCTTAAAGGCTGACTGCGCACAGTGTTCTCCCTGTTACAGAACCATCAGCCGCCATAAAGGCTGACTGCGCACAGTGTTCTCCCTGTTACAGAACCATCAGCCGCCATAAAGGCTGAATGCGCACAGTGTTCTCCCTGTTACAGAACCATGACTGCGCACAGTGTTCTCCCTGTTACAGAACCATCAGCCGCCTTAAAGGCTGACTGCGCAGAGTGGTCTCCCTGTTACAGAACCATCAGCCGCCATAAAGGCTGAATGCGCAGAGTGGTCTCACTGTCACAGAACCATCAGCCGCCATAAAGGCTGACTGCGCACAGTGTTCTCCCTGTTACAGAACCATCAGCCGCCATAAAGGCTGAATGCGCAGAGTGGTCTCACTGTTACAGAACCATCAGCCGCCTTAAAGGCTGACTGCGCACAGTGTTCTCCCTGTTACAGAACCATCAGCCGCCATAAAGGCTGAATGCGCACAGTGTTCTCCCTGTCACAGAACCATCAGCCGCCATAAAGGCTGAATGCGCAGAGTGGTCTCACTGTTACAGAACCATCAGCCGCCTTAAAGGCTGACTGCGCACAGTGTTCTCCCTGTTACAGAACCATCAGCCGCCTTAAAGGCTGACTGCGCAGAGTGGTCTGCCTGTTACAGAACCATCAGCCGCCATAAAGGCTGACTGCGCACAGTGTTCTCCCTGTTACAGAACCATCAGCCGCCTTAAAGGCTGAATGCGCAGAGTGGTCTCACTGTTACAGAACCATCAGCCGCCTTAAAGGCTGACTGCGCACAGTGTTCTCCCTGTTACAGAACCATCAGCCGCCATAAAGGCTGACTGCGCACAGTGTTCTCACTGTTACAGAACCATGACTGCGCACAGTGTTCTCACTGTCACAGAACCATCAGCCGCCATAAAGGCTGACTGCGCACAGTGTTCTCCCTGTTACAGAACCATCAGCCGCCTTAAAGGCTGAATGCGCACAGTGGTCTCACTGTTACAGAACCATCAGCCGCCTTAAAGGCTGACTGCGCACAGTGTTCTCACTGTTACAGAACCATCAGCCACCTTAAAGGCTGACTGCGCACAGTGTTCTCCCTGTTACAGAACCATGACTGCGCACAGTGTTCTCCCTGTCACAGAACCATCAGCCGCCTTAAAGGCTGACTGCGCACAGTGTTCTCCCTGTTACAGAACCATCAGCCGCCATAAAGGCTGACTGCGCACAGTGTTCTCCCTGTTACAGAACCATCAGCCGCCATAAAGGCTGAATGCGCACAGTGTTCTCCCTGTTACAGAACCATGACTGCGCACAGTGTTCTCCCTGTTACAGAACCATCAGCCGCCTTAAAGGCTGACTGCGCAGAGTGGTCTCCCTGTTACAGAACCATCAGCCGCCATAAAGGCTGAATGCGCAGAGTGGTCTCACTGTCACAGAACCATCAGCCGCCATAAAGGCTGACTGCGCACAGTGTTCTCCCTGTTACAGAACCATCAGCCGCCATAAAGGCTGAATGCGCAGAGTGGTCTCACTGTTACAGAACCATCAGCCGCCTTAAAGGCTGACTGCGCACAGTGTTCTCCCTGTTACAGAACCATCAGCCGCCTTAAAGGCTGAATGCGCAGAGTGGTCTCACTGTCACAGAACCATCAGCCGCCATAAAGGCTGACTGCGCACAGTGTTCTCACTGTTACAGAACCATGACTGCGCACAGTGTTCTCCCTGTTACAGAACCATCAGCCGCCTTAAAGGCTGACTGCGCAGAGTGTTCTCACTGTTACAGAACCATGACTGCGCACAGTGTTCTCACTGTCACAGAACCATCAGCCACCATAAAGGCTGAATGCGCAGAGTGGTCTCCCTGTTACAGAACCATCAGCCGCCATAAAGGCTGAATGCGCAGAGTGGTCTCACTGTCACAGAACCATCAGCCGCCTTAAAGGCTGACTGCGCACAGTGTTCTCCCTGTTACAGAACCATCAGCCGCCTTAAAGGCTGAATGCGCAGAGTGTTCTCACTGTCACAGAACCATCAGCCGCCATAAAGGCTGACTGCGCACAGTGTTCTCCCTGTTACAGAACCATCAGCCGCCATAAAGGCTGACTGCGCACAGTGTTCTCCCTGTTACAGAACCATCAGCCGCCTTAAAGGCTGACTGCGCAGAGTGTTCTCACTGTTACAGAACCATGACTGCGCACAGTGTTCTCACTGTCACAGAACCATCAGCCGCCATAAAGGCTGACTGCGCACAGTGTTCTCCCTGTTACAGAACCATCAGCCGCCATAAAGGCTGAATGCGCAGAGTGGTCTCACTGTCACAGAACCATCAGCCGCCTTAAAGGCTGATGCGCACAGTGTTCTCACTGTTACAGAACCATCAGCCGCCTTAAAGGCTGAATGCGCACAGTGTTCTCCCTGTCACAGAACCATCAGCCGCCATAAAGGCTGACTGCGCACAGTGTTCTCCCTGTTACAGAACCATCAGCCGCCATAAAGGCTGACTGCGCACAGTGTTCTCACTGTTACAGAACCATCAGCCGCCTTAAAGGCTGACTGCGCACAGTGTTCTCCCTGTTACAGAACCATGACTGAGCACAGTGTTCTCCCTGTTACAGAACCATCAGCCGCCTTAAAGGCTCACTGCGCACAGTGTTCTCCCTGTTACAGAACCATCAGCCGCCATAAAGGCTGACTGCGCACAGTGTTCTCCCTGTTACAGAACCATCAGCCGCCATAAAGGCTGAATGCGCACAGTGTTCTCCCTGTTACAGAACCATGACTGCGCACAGTGTTCTCCCTGTTACAGAACCATCAGCCGCCTTAAAGGCTGACTGCGCAGAGTGGTCTCCCTGTTACAGAACCATCAGCCGCCATAAAGGCTGAATGCGCAGAGTGGTCTCACTGTCACAGAACCATCAGCCGCCTTAAAGGCTGACTGCGCACAGTGTTCTCCCTGTTACAGAACCATCAGCCGCCATAAAGGCTGAATGCGCAGAGTGGTCTCACTGTTACAGAACCATCAGCCGCCTTAAAGGCTGACTGCGCACAGTGTTCTCCCTGTTACAGAACCATCAGCCGCCTTAAAGGCTGAATGCGCAGAGTGGTCTCACTGTCACAGAACCATCAGCCGCCATAAAGGCTGACTGCGCACAGTGTTCTCACTGTTACAGAACCATGACTGCGCACAGTGTTCTCCCTGTTACAGAACCATCAGCCGCCTTAAAGGCTGACTGCGCAGAGTGTTCTCACTGTTACAGAACCATGACTGCGCACAGTGTTCTCACTGTCACAGAACCATCAGCCGCCATAAAGGCTGACTGCGCACAGTGTTCTCACTGTTACAGAACCATCAGCCGCCATAAAGGCTGAATGCGCAGAGTGTTCTCACTGTTACAGAACCATCAGCCGCCTTAAAGGCTGACTGCGCACAGTGTTCTCCCTGTTACAGAACCATGACTGCGCACAGTGTTCTCACTGTTACAGAACCATTAGCCGCCTTAAAGGCTGACTGCGCACAGTGTTCTCCCTGTTACAGAACCATCAGCCGCCATAAAGGCTGACTGCGCACAGTGTTCTCCCTGTTACAGAACCATCAGCCGCCTTAAAGGCTGACTGCGCACAGTGTTCTCCCTGTTACAGAACCATGACTGCGCACAGTGTTCTCACTGTTACAGAACCACCAGCCGCCTTAAAGGCTGACTGCGCACAGTGTTCTCCCTGTTACAGAACCATGACTGCGCACAGTGTTCTCACTGTTACAGAACCATCAGCCGCCTTAAAGGCTGACTGCGCACAGTGTTCTCCCTGTTACAGAACCATGACTGCGAGTGTACTGTAGTACACAGTATACAGAGTAGTACGCAGTATACACTGTAGTATACATTATACAGAGTAGTACACAGTATACAGAATAGTACGCAGTATTCAGAGTAGTAAACCGCATACAGTGTAGTATACAGTGTAGTACATAGTATACAGTATAGTACACAGTATACAGAGTAGTACGCAGTATACGGTGTAGTATACAGTATAGCACACAGCATACAGAGTAGTATACAGTATAGCACACAGCATACAGAGTAGTACACAGTATACAGAGTAGTACACAGGGTAGTACATAGTATGTGTAGTACGCAGTATACAGAGTAGTACACAGGGTAGTACATAGTATATGTGTAGTACATAGTATACAGAGTAGTACACAGTATACGGTGTAGTACACAGTATAGTACACAGTATACAGAGTAGTACACAGTATAGTACACAGTATACAGAGTAGTACACAGTATACAGAATAGTACACAGTATACAGAATAGTACGCAGTATACAGAGTAGTATACAGTGTAGTACATAGTATACAGTATAGTACACAGTATACAGTGTAGTACAGTATATGTGTAGTACATAGTATACAGTGTAGTACAGTATATGTGTAGTACACAGTATACAGTGTAGTACACAGTATACAGTGTAGTACACAGTATACAGTGTAGTACAGTATGTGTAGTACACAGTATACAGTGTAGTACAGTATGTGTAGTACAGTATGTGTAGTACACAGTATACAGTGTAGTACAGTATGTGTAGTACACAGTATACAGTGTAGTACAGTATATGTGTAGTACAGTATACAGTGTAGTACACAGTATACAGTGTAGTACACAGTATACAGTGTAGTACAGTATATGTGTAGTACACAGTATACTGTGTAGTACAGTATATGTGTAGTACACAGTATACAGTGTAGTACACAGTATACAGTGTAGTACACAGTATACAGTGTAGTACAGTATATGTGCAGTACACAGTATCACTTCAGGGAGCTGCTCATTTGACCTTCTGTTAGACGTGTGCCTGTTACCGTCAGTGCTGATGTGACCCTGTCAAAGCCTCGACAGGCGTTCAGAGTAGAAGTACGTGGTTCCTGAGTCACAACCTCAACAACACAGAGACAATCTACATCAACAGTTAATGTCCAATCAGCTCATCAGTAAATCAAAACAATCAATAACAGCAGAGATGATGGTTTATTCCAAAGATGTTTTGTGAATACAGCAGGTGATGTCTCACTCTGATCACAAAGTCCACTCTTAAACAAACAGTCCAGCAGACGTTATTACATCTTTACATGATTCAGGTTACAGAACGTTTTCTTTTTACTTCAAACTTAAAGTTCAACTTCTCACAAATCAACATGAAGACCAACACTTGGTTACAGCAAAGATAATACAAATATTTCCTCATCTCACTCAGCAATCAAACTGATTTAAAGTTCACAAGTAAACTGTTCTTCAAACAGTAAACACAGGACGATGTGAAACTCACTGATTTATTGATCAGTGAAAGAAAAAGAAGGAATTTTATTGTTCTTTAATTTTTAAACATAAAAAACTTGAACTAAGATGAATCAAACTGAATCATGAATTTGGGAATTTATGGATTACACAGTCAATTCAAATTGGAATTCTGAGTAATCTCAGACTTTTATTTTATTCTCTTCTGAGTTTATAAGATGTAATTAACTTGTTGGATTACTATTTTCAGATCTTCATGTGTTTGTTTCTTTAAAGTTGAACAACATGAAACATTCATACCATCAACAAACTGATTATTGTAAAATATTTGTTTAGTGCAACATGATTTTATGGCTTCATATTCAAAATGCGACAGTGCAACCTTCAGGCAAACAGCAGGGACGAAAATACCCAGCATCCTGAAACTGAAGACTAAAATATAAACCTTCAGAATAACTCAAGAGACCACCACATTTATATTCATCAGGAGGTTTTCGACAGATAATGAGAAATCACTGAGCTTTGGTACATTTTTAGCTGCAGCTCTGTTATCAGATTCAACATTAATTTAACAGCTGATGTTCGACTTTCATTCTTTAGCGACAGAAGTCATTGATGTTTTCAGAGTAGGTCCTGCTGACCGAGCTGAAGTTCAAACAACAACCTCATGGCTCCAGCAGCCATGTGCTGAAGGGTACACGACTTCAAAATAAGAGCCTCCGGTGGGAATCAAACCCACAACACATTTCAATATTTCAGGGGAGAAACACAGAACATGAACCAGTTTTTGTTTCTCCATCGTTCTCTCATAAAAATATCTGCAAGTTTATGTGTAATAACACTGAAGCGTGTACCTAAATTAATCAAATAATACAGCAGAATTTGAACTGTGGTGATTAATTTGAATTAAAATAAAATAAAATAAAGCCTAAACTGAGTTTAAATAAAACCTCAGTATTTCAGGTGAGCTGTGATGGCCCAGGTGAATCATGTGACAGATCAGCAGTGTTGTCTCTTAAAGGAACAGTCCCACATTTAAGATGCAGTGTAAGATATAAACCAGCAGGAGTGCTGACAGGAAGTGACCTCACTGGTTGTTGTTCAGTTTGAGGAAGCGCTGCGACTTCTGTCTCACCATACGGTGCTGCTGCTGCGCCACCTGAGCATCTGATATGGCCGCCTGCAGCTTCTGTAAGTAACCATGGTAACCAGGTAAGGCAACGGGCACACACAGAAACATTAACTGAGCACACACACACATACAGATATTATAGTAAGTGGTTAAAGATGGCGTCCACTCACATTAGTGTAAACTAATCGCTGAGCGAATAAACAGTTTTCTAACTTCAGAGCTGTGTCCCACTGCACATGCTCAGTAGTGTTTCTCCTGCTCGGTCCACAGACCACACCAAGACGTCAGTTTTAAAATGTCTTTTCTAGACTCTAATATAAAAGCTTCATGGATTAAAAAGTCACAACAGCTGGAGCCATTTAATTACCTAACAATTAAAAAATATTGGAGGTCTATATCCATAAAGTTAAGGTATACTGAGGTCTATATCAATAAAGTTAAGGTATACTGAGCGCTACATAAAGTTAAGGTATACTGAGGTCTATATCAATAAAGTTAAGGTATACTGAGGTCTATATCAATAAAGTTAAGGTATACTGAGGTTTATATAAAGTTAAGGTATACTGAGGTTTATATAAAGTTATGGTATACTGAGGTCTATATAAAGTTATGGTATACTGAGGTCTATATAAAGTTATGGTATACTGAGGTCTATATAAAGTTATGGTATACTGAGGTTTATATAAAGTTATGGTATACTGAGGTCTATATCAATAAAGTTAAGGTATACTGAGGTCTATATAAAGTTATGGTATACTGAGGTTTATATAAAGTTAAGGTATACTGAGATTTATATAAAGTTATGGTATACTGAGGTCTATATCCATAAAGTTAAGGTATACTGAGGTCTATATCAATAAAGTTAAGGTATACTGAGCGCTATATAAAGTTAAGGTATACTGAGGTCTATATCAATAAAGTTAAGGTATACTGAGGTCTATATCAATAAAGTTAAGGTATACTGAGGTTTATATAAAGTTAAGGTATACTGAGGTTTATATAAAGTTATGGTATACTGAGGTCTATATAAAGTTATGGTATACTGAGGTTTATATAAAGTTAAGGTATACTGAGATTTATATAAAGTTATGGTATACTGAGGTCTATATCCATAAAGTTAAGGTATACTGAGGTCTATATCAATAAAGTTAAGGTATACTGAGCGCTATATAAAGTTAAGGTATACTGAGGTCTATATCAATAAAGTTAAGGTATACTGAGGTCTATATCAATAAAGTTAAGGTATACTGAGGTTTATATAAAGTTAAGGTATACTGAGGTTTATATAAAGTTATGGTATACTGAGGTCTATATAAAGTTATGGTATACTGAGGTCTATATAAAGTTATGGTATACTGAGGTCTATATAAAGTTATGGTATACTGAGGTTTATATAAAGTTATGGTATAATGAGGTCTATATCAATAAAGTTAAGGTATACTGAGGTCTATATAAAGTTATGGTATACTGAGGTTTTATAAAGTTAAGGTATACTGAGATTTATATAAAGTTAAGGTATACTGAGGTCTATATAAAGTTATGGTATACTGAGGTTTATATAAAGTTAAGGTATACTGAGGTTTATATAAAGTTAAGGTATACTGAGGTTTATATAAAGTTATGGTATACTGAGGTTTATATAAAGTTAAGGTATACTGAGGTTTATATAAAGTTAAGGTATACTGAGGTTTATATAAAGTTATGGTATACTGAGGTCTATATAAGTTAAGGTATACTGAGGTTTATATAAAGTTAAGGTATACTGAGGTTTATATAAAGTTAAGGTATACTGAGGTCTATATAAAGTTATGGTATACTGAGGTCTATATAAAGTTAAGGTATACTGAGGTTTATATAAAGTTAAGGTATACTGAGGTTTATATAAAGTTAAGGTATACTGAGGTTTATATAAAGTTAAGGTATACTGAGGTTTATATAAAGTTATGGTATACTGAGGTCTATATAAAGTTATGGTATACTGAGGTCTATATAAAGTTAAGGTATACTGAGGTTTATATAAAGTTATGGTATACTGAGGTCTATATAAAGTTATGGTATACTGAGGTTTATATAAAGTTATGGTATACTGAGGTCTATATAAAGTTAAGGTATACTGAGGTCTATATAAAGTTATGGTATACTGAGGTTTATATAAAGTTAAGGTATACTGAGATTTATATAAAGTTATGGTATACTGAGGTCTATATCCATAAAGTTAAGGTATACTGAGGTCTATATAAAGTTAAGGTATACTGAGCGCTATATAAAGTTAAGGTATACTGAGGTCTATATCAATAAAGTTAAGGTATACTGAGGTCTATATCAATAAAGTTAAGGTATACTGAGGTTTATATAAAGTTAAGGTATACTGAGGTTTATATAAAGTTATGGTATACTGAGGTCTATATAAAGTTATGGTATACTGAGGTCTATATAAAGTTATGGTATACTGAGGTCTATATAAAGTTAAGGTATACTGAGGTTTATATAAAGTTATGGTATACTGAGGTCTATATAAAGTTATGGTATACTGAGGTCTATATAAAGTTATGGTATACTGAGGTCTATATAAAGTTATGGTATACTGAGGTTTATATAAAGTTATGGTATAATGAGGTCTATATCAATAAAGTTAAGGTATACTGAGGTCTATATAAAGTTATGGTATACTGAGGTTTATATAAAGTTAAGGTATACTGAGATTTATATAAAGTTAAGGTATACTGAGGTCTATATAAAGTTATGGTATACTGAGGTTTATATAAAGTTAAGGTATACTGAGGTTTATATAAAGTTAAGGTATACTGAGGTTTATATAAAGTTATGGTATACTGAGGTTATATAAAGTTAAGGTATACTGAGGTTTATATAAAGTTAAGGTATACTGAGGTTTATATAAAGTTATGGTATACTGAGGTCTATATAAAGTTAAGGTATACTGAGGTTTATATAAAGTTAAGGTATACTGAGGTTTATATAAAGTTAAGGTATACTGAGGTCTATATAAAGTTATGGTATACTGAGGTCTATATAAAGTTAAGGTATACTGAGGTTTATATAAAGTTAAGGTATACTGAGGTTTATAAAGTTAAGGTATACTGAGGTTTATATAAAGTTAAGGTATACTGAGGTTTATATAAAGTTATGGTATACTGAGGTCTATATAAAGTTATGGTATACTGAGGTCTATATAAAGTTAAGGTATACTGAGGTTTATATAAAGTTATGGTATACTGAGGTCTATATAAAGTTATGGTATACTGAGGTTTATATAAAGTTATGGTATACTGAGGTCTATATAAAGTTAAGGTATACTGAGGTCTATATAAAGTTATGGTATACTGAGGTCTATATAAAGTTAAGGTATACTGAGGTCTATATAAAGTTATGGTATACTGAGGTTTATATAAAGTTAAGGTATACTGAGGTTTATATAAAGTTAAGGTATACTGAGGTTTATATAAAGTTAAGGTATACTGAGGTTTATATAAAGTTATGGTATACTGAGGTCTATATAAAGTTAAGGTATACTGAGGTTTATATAAAGTTAAGGTATACTGAGGTCTATATAAAGTTAAGGTATACTGAGGTCTATATAAAGTTATGGTATACTGAGGTTTATATAAAGTTAAGGTATACTGAGGTTTATATAAAGTTAAGGTATACTGAGGTTTATAAAGTTAAGGTATACTGAGGTTATATAAAGTTATGGTATACTGAGGTCTATATAAAGTTAAGGTATACTGAGGTTTATATAAAGTTAAGGTATACTGAGGTTTATATAAAGTTATGGTATACTGAGGTCTATATAAAGTTATGGTATACTGAGGTTTATAAAGTTAAGGTATACTGAGGTTTATATAAAGTTATGGTATACTGAGGTTTATATAAAGTTAAGGTATACTGAGGTTTATATAAAGTTAAGGTATACTGAGGTTTATATAAAGTTATGGTATACTGAGGTTTATATAAGTTAAGGTATACTGAGGTTTATATAAAGTTATGGTATACTGAGGTCTATATAAAGTTATGGTATACTGAGGTTTATATAAAGTTATGGTATACTGAGGTTTATATAAAGTTATGGTATACTGAGGTTTATATAAAGTTATGGTATACTGAGGTTTATATAAAGTTATGGTATACTGAGGTTTATATAAAGTTAAGGTATACTGAGGTTTATATAAAGTTATGGTATACTGAGGTTTATAAAGTTATGGTATAATGAGGTTTATATAAAGTTATGGTATACTGAGGTATATAAAGTTATGGTATACTGAGGTTTATATAAAGTTATGGTATACTGAGGTCTATCTCCTGTATTGCTTTGTTCAAAGCCACCAGACTCCACTGATAAAAACAGTATAATAAACTGTTAACATGTTATTAAACACATGAACACCTGGATTTACCTGAGCAGTGGCTGAGTCTCTGAGCTGAATGGTCCTCACAGACTCCTGACCGTCTCTCCTTGGCAGCTTCAACTTCTGCTCCTCCTGAAACACCAACAGACCGTCAGAGAGATCGCTCTTGGCAGTAGCACAGTAGATTATTTCATTACAGATTTAGATCTACTGTCTCTCATAAATGCCAAATTGCCGCACAACAATCAGATATTTACCCTCAGACTTTAACTGATCAAGAAGTAAACCTAAAGAATGACATCTTCACTTTAAATATAATCACATTTTAAACTGTGATCCTTATTCTAGTTTTAAGTTGCCGGTTTTACTAAATCAACCTTCTGTGGTTTTGATTGTTGCTGGTTATCCATATTTGTTTGTGATGATAAGCCATTAGTTACATACCTTTTAAATGTCATTGAGTCTTTTAGTTTCACACAACTTGTGTCTGAACTACACGTCAGCGTGGACATACGTTAGATTTAGTTTTAAGCTATGGTTGTCAGTCGGTACCAGTATCAGTACTTGCTGATATTATTAGACATCTTATAATCACTTTAACTTGAAACTACAGATGTGATGGATCAAGTTTTAGCCAAGCTTCGTCGGTGGATGCCTCAACTTTAATGGTGCACTCTGGGATTTGTTGGCGTCAGTGGCTCCAGAAAATCAAATGTGAATTTTTATTGTTTATATATGAAGTTTGGCTTTGGCAACATTGTTACCTAAACATTCACGCTAAGAAAACGAACTGAAAAGAAAAATGGGAGACAGAGAGAGAGAGAGAGAGAGAGAG